ATAGGAGGTAGCTTTTAGCACCACATAACACAGATGTGTCAAAGTATCAATCATTATTAAATGTTTTGCACAAATGTGATTTAAACTATACCAATTCCATCCAGATATTTTTTAAGTACAGTAGGAGGACCTTTTGCTTTCCTTGTAGATAAAAGTAGAATTATGTTTTATTGTTTAATAAAACTGAAAGAAGTGAGAGGTTGCTGTATGTTATTAAAAAGGACATCATTGCATAAAATAACAATTTGTGCAATGATGCCATTTCATTGAGATTTAAGAATGCAGAGACTAAAATTTGACAAAACCATCTTACACCAAAATACAGAATGCAAGATGACATGATGTATGAAATCTGCAAGGTCACGGAGGAAATGAAATAAGAACTTCTCTACAGCTAAAGAGTGAACAAAAGAAAAACTTTTTTTTATGTTTAACACCAGAATAAAACTGCTGAGGTTCACTGCTAAATTTAGATGACAACGGGCAAATGAAGACATTCACAACTGTATTAGAAAATACAGCAGTAGTATAGTTTGTGTTTTACCTCTTAGGTTAGTCAAAATTATACATTCAGGCTCATTTGTATGCATCGTCACCCTTGTTAATAATTACCTAAATGTCCATTGTCATGTTGTACTGTGACCACATCCTTATTTTAGCCATCAAGAAGCTACTGGAATATATTTGCCAGTGTGTGTGGCCATTCTTTTGGCTTTTTCAACTTTAAAGATGGAAAATTTGCTATTATGTTCAGGAACTGCCATGTTCATGTCACCCCATGAATATGATTATCAGTGAAATTTGCAGATGCTCATAACATATACATATGGATGAGACAAAGACAATTGAGCTTTTTGACCACAATGACCAAAATATGTTGAGAGGGTGAGGGGTTTGTTTCTCTGCTAGTTGTTACGGGTGACTGCAAAAAGTGCAGAGTAATGAAGTCAAACACTCAACTTCTTCTCATGTCAGTAGGTAGATGGTTGAAACTTGGACAGAGTTCCTCATATCCTCATCTTTCCAACCTTACAGCCGCACAAAGATTTAAAGTGGAGTGGCAAAAGCAAACGAGGTGGATTAGCGATGTTTGCCAGATGATTGTGTCATCCAGGACGTGCTATTGTGGAATATCGTCCCTGCTGCCTGGGGATTGAGCTGCTAGCATTTCGTCACACTATCATAAAGCAAAAGTCTTCAGTCAGAGGCCTTTTCAGATTTGTTGCAAGCCTGACTGCTACCCGAGATCCTTCCTGCCAACAAGGACTCTTTGAAGATACGAGCTATGATGTTTAACTTCCCTTTAAGAGAAAATATTTTTGAAATAGCTCTAAACTAATCCCTAAAACACATAAGTGCTGGTTTATGCAACAGACAGAAGTAAGTTAACATTAATCTTTTGGGATATCTATGACCTCAGAGATGTTGCAGATTCATGGATTATGCACGAAAGTAACACCTGCACAACAAAACAGACCAACTAAAAAGTTTTGCTAACAGCAGTAAAACATCCAGCCATCTTGTTGATGGATAAAAGAAAAAGCATTTGATCAAAGTGCATTTTTCTAGGAAACATTTGCCTAAATAATAGTAGTGTTTAGTTATATTTGAATCTGGATGTATTATTTAAGAAGATCTACAAAAGAATGAAACTTGTGCACTCAGTCCCTGCTATTACAAATCAATACAGTACATTTGTTTAATGTTGTTTAACTGTTCTACCATGAAAAAAGAAATGTATAATTGAAAGTCTAAATTGAATGTTTGTAAACCACTGAGTAGCACATTTTTAGATATATACAGCTGCAAAGGAAGCTGTAAATTAAAAAGACCCTCACTATCTGGTTAATATCAACCAATAAACATAAACTCACTGTGTCATTTCTGATAGTGGGTTACTCATTTATGATTAAATTCACACTCAAATAGAGCCATGGAGGCTTTAAAACACCACTATCTGGGTCTGACACTTAAATTAAATGATCAAAATAGACAAAATGCCCACAATGAAAGCTGGGAGAAATTAGGTGAGTAAATTGAGTGTTTCACTTCAAACTGGTCTTTCAGGTGACCAAACAAGTTATCAAATCCCGTGAATACTCCTGAGCGTAAACAAATGCAAGACTGAAGGAGAAAACATTAACACACAAGAATAGCATGCTCTCGTCAGACCTGATAGGCGGTTTAGCTAATAAACACCAAAGACACCGTGAGCTCAGCAGCCTGACGTGTGAAACACTATCTGTAAGTGTGTTCGATGGAAAAGCACACCGGGTAGAGTATCCGGGAGTTAGATAGCTCCTCTGTCTGTGTGTGCGGATATGTGAGTACGTGCGCGCGCGCAGCAGGACTGGACTGTCTGGCTGGATGACAGTGCTACGTACAACGCACCGATTGGTCTGTTTGGCTAAACTAGCCACGGAGAGCTAACGACAGCTACATTACAAACCGATGATAATAGTCATAGTTTAGCACCCAGAGGGGAGCCATTATCAAAGTGTGAGAGTGGTGGCAACACATAGCGACACACCACTGGCTTTAATCATTAGCTGACAGCTCAGCATGCAGGGAAGGCCGTCAAAGTGCACAAAGCTGAAGTTAGCTTCCTATATGACGGTTAATTAAAGGGCTATTTCGTAATTCTTTTTTTTGGGGGGGGGCCCGGGGAGTCTAAATACATTGTGCGCGTTGTATTTTTTTATGCATTACAAATTGTGCTTAAAATTAATACATAAAGTAAAGCTTAATTGAGTGACACCATAACTCCATTTGTGTACATATAGAGAGTTTTTCAATGTTTTCATTTTTTGGGAGTGGGGGTTCCCTTTGGAAAAACACATCTTATTAGACTCGTTAAACCTGTTGTGGATTAACCTACTCTAAACACATTTGATTCAAATCACAATAATTGGGTTATGAACAGAAAATGGCTAATTCGGGTAGCTCATCCAATATACCCCCCTAACAACAAGCTCGACACAAAGAAATATATGAAATGTGACAAATAAAACGGTGTGTCGGAACCAGAAGCCCACATAAAGCACCTACCGAGCGCCACCTGACAGGCTTTGCGCAGCTGGCTGTGTTGGCTCCTCTTCACCTCCTTATCCGACAGGATTTTCTCCAGCGCCCTGGACAGAAACATGCTCTTGGTTTTACTGTTTTCCGACTGCGAGTGCTGCCGTTGCTGCTCCCGTGGCGGCCGCTGTCGCTGCTCCTGCATCTCTCGGTCGAGTAACCGTCCCTCTCCTCAGGCCGTCATGTTCGGCCTGGCCCCCGCGAAGAAAGCAGGTAACGGAGGAAGCTAGCAAAAGCCAGGCTATCGGTGTCTGTCCAGTAGGGGTTCTACCTCAGCTCCAGCGCCGCCATGCTGGCTACACGTCACGTCATGTGATGGTGACGCTCAGCGACTGGTGTGTCGCTCGAAACCGAGCCGGTGTCTTGTGTCCTTGCTGTTCACCCTAATCAATAACAACTATGTCCTGTTTGTTCCAGCGGAAGTCATTCTGGCAAAAAAAAATATTTTAGTATTTTCTTTTAGACATTACATTAGCACCTAAAAAGTAAGACGCATTACTATAACTTTTATTGGCATGCTTGCATACAAACACACTCATTAAGTATCAGAACTTGGCTTAGCTACTAGCTAAGTAATGAACTTGGGAATCGCTTGCTTGCGTTAAACATGATCCGAATCCAGGAAAATATCCGGAATTTCCATGGCACTGAACTTTCATGGGCAGACAACAGAACGACAGACCAAGTTGGACAAAAACAGTCTTTTTGTCCAGTATTTTGTTTAAACGAAATAAAATGGTACTTAATGCGATCGAACTTTCAAAGTATCACTTTTTACAACTTTTCCAATCAGTACTGTGAAGTAAAAGTAAAAACCGACGTAAAATACAGCGAAGCTATTGCCAGCCCATTTACTACCATTGTGTCAGTCTGTTGATACTCAGTTCATTCACTCATTAAACGTCTAAATGAACAAAATGTCGAAACAAAATGTCATATGGCTCTAATAGTTTATCTGAACAATAATCTCTTGTATTAGATTGTTATTTTAGGAGATTGTTCTGGTCAGGGATATTCTTATGACAATATTTTTAGCATATGGTTTCCTTTTTTTATTTTACTTATTAGAAAACATGTTAAAAGGCCTTACAGGAAAAACAAATGTTCCACTGAAAAGCTAGCATTAATTTTCCATAATTATGATTCTGCTCACAATTCAATTTAAGGGAAAAAGATCAGATTTCTCCACGCTGGTGTCTGAGGCCTTGCTTTCTCAAGTAATAACTGCTCCTCTCATACATTTTCCTTAAAACATTTTTGAAGAACTCTGTGTGGACTATTAACTATAATTATTTATTCATACTTGACAGCGTAGAGAGTAAAGAACGACTTTTCTTTACGTGTCTGAAAACTGGCTAAAGGCGTCACTATTATTTTCTCACCGCCTGAGCCGCTCAACAATTTCGCAGGTTATTAGGTTTTACAAAATGTCCACCAGAGGGCGATAAAACACAGGAAGGCATCTTCCTGAACATTCTGGGTTTGTGGATTTATAAAAGCAAATAAAATGGTTGTGAATGGTGAATAGAAAAACTATGCAGCTGGTCATAGATATCAGAGTGCAATTCTGAAAAAAAAACAGGTTGAGAATGGCTTTCTTTGGCTTTTATTATGTGGACAAAACTCTTCATGATTTGTTGCATCGTTTCCTGGAAAATTGGAAGGTGCTTTGCTTTGTTACGGAGAAAAATGAAATTATTGTTAAAAACTACTATTGTTACTAATCTTTTAATTAATCTACACTGCTCATCAGTCAGAATTACTTGTGGGCCAGAAAAAAAACAAAAACAAAACATTTCTAAAACAGATGCTTGCCCACAGCTGAAAAATCACAAAGAAATAATACGACTAATTTCAAGGGATAGTACTTTTGCAAGGCTCTGTATGTAATTTGTTCACACATTAAAGACAAAAACAGCAAGTATTGCTACATTAGTTTATTGTATCCAGCTCCGCCAGTCAGCAGTTACAAGTGTGCATCTACTTTTTCTTATATTTCCAGTTCAATCTTATAACAATATCCTTCAGATGATAAAATTGTCCATCGTACATATAGCATTGATATGAAAATACTGACATTCTTCATTACAAATCTACATCACAGGATTTATCTGGCTAGAAAAAGAAAGTTATTACCTGATCACTTAAAAAAAGTCGACACCAAACATCTGCCTATGTGGTTGTTAATATGACTGTGTCGCTGTCACCAAAAATAATAATTCACAGTATGAGAAAAGAAAATAGAAATAGTGTTGAATTTTTTTTTTAGCAGAGATTCTCCTGAAGCTTTAAACAGAGCGGTAAAATCAATAGAAATTAATTCTAAAGAAATCTCTACTGTACCTTGAGATTTACGACCAAAAACAAAAAAGAAATGATCATGAATACACAACAAACATATCTGTTATAAAAAATATAATAGCATAAAATGTGTACAAAGAAAGAAAATATGAAGATTACAGAATAAATAAAAAATATGTTGATGTAGTTACAATTCCAGTGTCCTGTGCTGTAGTTCACAAATAAAGCTAATAAAGTAATAATTATAGAATTCCATTTAGAGTATGGTTCTTTGCTATGTTTAGTGCTGGGAATGCTGCATTTTGTGGACCAGACACAAGGCCAAAACATCAAACATAGTAAGTACCCTGTGCCGTTATAAAAACATCTTTTAATCAGTCATGGAATTTCACAATCTAAAAGTCTCAGATTGTAAACACAGCTACAAATTATGGACATAAGCGTAGCGTCAATTTAAATGAATCTACTTTCACTTGCATAATTTGCTAAAAGTGACAGCGTGGACCATGGTTTTATGTGCAACAGTAAAATAAATGCTAAAGTAAGGCTTAGCACTTCAATAAGGAGAACAGATGCTTAAAAATCCAGACCATGTGCTCTCACTTCACAGAGGGAGTTTGCAACAGAAATGGACCTGCTGTTTATGGTTCCGTCTGGAATTGAAAGGCTTTCGATTCAATTATTTTAAGATATTGTTGTAAAAGCATTTGAAATGTTAGATCAAAGGAGGACAATTTTGAAGATTTTGTGAAAACAATAAAAACCACCAACATTTCAGTACCACCTGGAACCACCAGAGGGGGTCATTTTTTTCCCAGATGACATTTTAAAGTCTTTAGTCTTTATCTTTCATTCATTATTTTGTGCTTACTTGTGTTTTTACTGAAGTTTATGAGTCAAACTGAGGTGTGAAGTATATGAACTGGAAAAATATTACTGTATGTTATCAGATTGTTTAAGGACATGATTACAATGTGTGCACCCTTCAAAAATCAATATGTTTATCATAATTATTCCACATAATGAGCAGATATTTCACTTTGATTTGCTGAGTATGCGTCATTTCAGTTTCAGTGAGGCATAAATCCACAGTACTTCCTCTGTGGATCTACTTTTACATCACCATAACACTTTCATTTTAGTCATTTACTTTTGAGATGATATAGACTTTTTAAAATAAAAAAATACAAGACACTGGAGGTTAAATTCAAGAGAATTAAAGAAAATGGAGAACACAAAGACAGGGCAAAAATGGCTCCTTTGGCGGTTCTTGGATAATTATCATGTGGTTCATATGACGGCAGGGCCTCACCTTTAACAAAGAGAGAGAGTTTGTGTCAGCTGTACCTAGCTGTGTGTTCAGCGGTGACTCAACCTCAGCAGGGACATGGACACGTTATCTAACTCACCTCAGAGGTAACATTTAACAACATGGTTACAGGAACGCTATTTCTGGACCGTCAGCACGCTTGTCAATATATTACAACTGAATGGAAATGCGGGATTAGTTGGGAATGATGGTAAATGGCAGAGTTAGAGAAAATCCCGTTAGTAAAAAAAAAACAAAAACAAAAAAAAAAAAACACTAATCTAAAACCCATTTCTGGAAGCATTTAGGCATGTTTTCAATCATTATCATACACACATTTTTGTGGTTTACCCTTTGAAGAGTTCATGCTAACATGCACTCCATATCAAAATTTTATTTATAGGGATTTTTGTTTTTTCGGGGACTTAAATTTTGGTTTCTTTTACGTTTCGATCTGTTTCACTTAACATCTTCACCAGTGGTGCTAAAAAGTGTATCTTTATGAAGTCATGGCATGATTTAGAAAATGGCTGAATAATCTTAAATATATTGATCCATAAAGAACCATGAAAATCACATTCACATTATTTTACAAGTCGACCAAATGGCAGAGGAAACAATCATGAGAAGCAGGAGTGCAATATGAAGGACAGATTGTATGATTCATTCACAGATTTCTTATTCTGGAGTTAATCACCACTCAAAATTGGTCTTCTGAGGAAAAAAAAATCTCCATGAATAGCAATGAAAATAAAGCAGGTTTAAGAGTAAAATGTTTTCACTGAGGCCATCTAATAATAATGATAACCTTCTTTTTGCAGTCAGTCACCCTTACGAGGTTCAAAAAGGAAGAATAACAGTGGTTAAAAACCATCAAAACCACGACTTGCTTGGTTCCTGGAAAGTGGTGTTTACCATTTGAATGAAGTAAATGTAAATAGGTGAAAAGCAGGTGATTAAAGGCGATTGTCAACTAATAACTGAACCAGAGAGAGTAGGGGTGCACTGATAAATCGACCCGATTTCCTTAATTTTGGGAGATCAGCAATCAGCAGATACTTGCATAAGAAACTGATCTTACTCACCAATCTTATCTAAAAAATGATATCGACCAAAATCGGAAAGAGTGTTTGTAATGCCATGGAGCCAACTTGTTCACTGAAAATATTTGAAGACCAAATGAGGATGTTGAGTTTACCAGTTAAAAAGCTAAAACCTATGAACTGCACTGGTTTTGAGATGAACTGGAGAGCAGCTGTGGTGCTGTGTTCCTTCTGATCACCACTATGGCACTCCAGCGTGATGATTGGCATGTAGGGAGCAGCATACGATGTGGTGTTTGACATTCAACACATACACTTGTAAATGTGCTCCTCAGATGAGGCCACTGAATGCGTTTGAGACGCTGCTGCACCTCCCAGTGATCAGTGTATTGAAACCCAGTCTACAGCGTGATGACTGTGCCCTCCTCCTCTAGGCTCCGCCTCTCCTTTGCTCTGTCGGGGGACGGAGTGGTGGAACTGGCATTGGTGTTGGTCAAAGATCCGCTGCTGCCACGCAGGTTCCCGTTGGCATTTATGGAGAAGGCAGAGCCGGAATTGGTGGCAGTGGTGGTGCGAAGATTGAGGTGCGGTTCATAGCGAGGCAGAGACGGCATGCTGTAGTTCGACGGAGTGCGCCGAATGGTCTCTGCTTCGCCCCCCACTTCGATCACCAGGTCCTCATCATCTTCGTCGCTTTCCAGCTCCCCAACAGGGAAGTTCTGGATGATGTGTGTCGGCCTGGCGGTGGCAGCTGCACCATGGGGTAAATAGCCATGGTAACTGGCACCACTGTCCGACGAACTACCAGAAGCAGCACCGGCTCCTCCTCCACCGCCGCGAACAACATTGTTCCGCTGATTGGCAGGCTTAACAGTGATGATGAGGTTGTGGCTGTTGGCAATCATCATGTCCGTCACCTGGTCCAGAGACTTGCCCACCACCTCGATGCCATTCACCTCCAGAACTTCGTCGTTGACAGCCAGCAGGCCTGTGCTTTCAGCCAGGCCGCCGGGCACCAGGCGGGAGATGAAGATCCCTGGGACCTTCTCCAGGCCCTGTGGAGTCACTCGCACGCTTGATCCGTCACGGATATAGAAACCCAAGGGCTTCTCCTGACCATGCTTGTACAGACGGACACGCCTGTGCGTCTCCGGGAGAATGTCCACGTCGATGATGGACGACACAGGGCGGAAGTCTTTCGGGAGGCTTATGATCACTGGAGGCTTCTTCTTGTTGGGGTCAGGCCGCAGAAGAACCGCAGAAAGCACTGTATTCTTCTTCCTGGTCAGTGAGTCTGTACCAAATGTTGTATAATCAGCTTCCTCTGCAAAACACAAGAGAGAGGAAGTTAAGAAAAATAGGTGAAATAGAGAAGAGGAAGATAGAGGGCAAAAAAAGTGAAACAGAATGTCAGGTGTAGAAGCAACTTCTTTTTATGTATGCATTTCCCAGTATATATAAATATATAAATAAAGTGTATATATACAAAAATATAAATAAATAAATGGCTATCAAATTTTACTCTCTAATTTGACGTCTTGTAAGTGGCCTGATGTCTCTGTGAGACGCTACTCCTCTTTCTGAAACGCTGTCTTCAAGAAGTCATCACAACAGCACTACTCTATCAACCCTTTAACAATGTTTTCACCAAAACTGTTCTGAAAGTAGCTCCTCTAATGAGCTCAGCAGATGTGCAGCATCACTAATTGCCGCTGGCTAGTCTGAAGGAGCTGAGTGGGGGAGGTGTGGAGGCAGAGTCACATGGTTGTCATGGAAGATTAAAGCATTTCTAAAACATGCATGAAAGAGTCAAAGCAACACAAACTAAAAAAAATGTTAATTTTACATAATACTGCCCCTTTAAGGCTGCTACTCATGAAGCAGTTTCTCCACCTGACATTCTGTTTCATCATGTAATTTGAGACCAATGTTTTTTTCTTGTTTGCTCTCAGCCTGAGGCATTGCTGGAGGAAGGATTCTGACTGCTCCCTTTGAGTCGCACTGATGAAAAAGTCCACCACAGCCAACAAGTCGCTTGGCAAGTCGACTTTTGAAAATCAGGTTTTTCCGTCTTGCTGAAGCCAAAAATATCCCCTCCTTATGCTGCACCGAACCCTGCAGGTGCATGTGGTGAGCCGATATTCTGCATTATTTATTTACCAAGCATATGGTTGGCTTGGCGGATTGTTCACATGAAATTTCTATTCTAACTGATGAAAATAATTTGCAAACGGTGAAAATCTCATAAATCATTAGGGTTGTTGTGATGTGAAAACTCAATACTGATTCTGGAGAAAATCTTCAATTTCATTTTAGATACTACACAGTAGAAATGCACAGAAAAAGCTTTGTTGACCAGAAAATGAGCATTACTAGCTTGATCAGGTAGCCAAAAACTCAAAAATCCATTTATTTCTATTCAATGAATGCACATACCAATCTCAGATTTTTTTTTCTTTTCTCAAATTTTCATTCCTGCTTTTCTGGGGGGAGGGATTGCGTTATTTATTTATTTTTATTTTTTTTTTTTACAAACATTCTTTCTCATTTTGGATGCAGTGCAGCTGAACTGATTTTTGCCAATACTTTTAATACTTTGCTCTTTCGTTATGATGCATAACCATAGCAACAGATTGGGAGTGCCTGATTGACATGACAAAATCTGAAATAATACCAATAACTCTGAAGAATTGTGAATTGATGAGTTTCAACAATATTGAATATTCCTTTGAGATTAATAAAGTATTCTTGAATTTGAATGGAAGACGATGGAAGAAGACTCAAGAGCTTTTATTAGTATAAGCGAGGTGTTTAAAAATGAAGTCAGATTATGCAGACAGGTAGGAAGTAATTCAAAAGGAAACTGTTTTAGTTCATTTCAAATCTTGCAGAGAGATTATTTTCATTTATACACAAATAGCAATCAGAAAGTTGGAAGGACTGTCACAGTAAGAAGGTCCTGGGTTTGAATCCCAGGTTGATGGATAAATTACTGCCAAATGTTTTCTGCATATTTTTGGTTTAATTCAAGACAAAAGCTAGAGAAAGTTGAAAATATAAACTCTATGTCATCATTTTGTCTTTTGATTGAAATGTCGATCAACTGTTTCATAATGGCACAAGTCTGATTAACAGCACTAAGACCCGCCTCTTGGCTCTGATCTGTTGTCTGTGATCAAGCGATGTATGACAGTAGGACAACAGGGAGAAGGTTGAAGACCTTGAAGTTTTCACAGATAATCTGTCTCGTATTATACTGTTGTGACATAGTGATACATCTAGCAGTAAAAAACAAAAACAAATTCATAAAAGTTACATACTAAAATTAGTTATTAAAGAAAATTCTGAATCTTATCTAATTAGCATCAGCATGTGAAAACTTTGCAGAAAATGGAGTTCTAAACTTGACTCTGAAAACTCTGAATTACTACTCAATAGATATAAAATGTTCTTGATCAATACCTGGCTATAGATTTTCTTTTGACAATATTGTTGCTTTTGCAGATAACGCAAATTTACTACAAAGTTATCACAAACAACTCACATTGATCCTAAAACCACATCTATCTGTTACCTACCCATTTATTTGAAACCAATCTGAATCAGAGATCAGTATCTGCTGCAGACCACATCCTCAAACAGAGTTAAACTGATTTGTCATGGACTCTAGAAGAACGGATGCACCTGAAATCACTAAGTAACACCACTACAACCTTTTATTGTTAATTAAAATAAACAAGCAAAACTGGCCAGTTTATTTATTGTATGTGAATATCATAAAAAGAGGAACAAAGAAAACAGAACTCTTATTATGAGTTGTGGTTTAATGCTTGTATGAGTCTAATCCTTCTGCGGTTTCCTGGAATCATCTCCTATTTCTTCATGTTCCAACAATTTACTAACAATGAACCCCTCTGACTGGTTTGGACAGAACAAAAAGTGTACATCTTGAACCAAAAACACTTTCAAAGCATCATAAAATAACTGCTTTTCAGAGCACAGTGTACGCTATCAACAAACAACAGCAGAGCATGGCTTACATTGAAAGAAACTGAACCTTGAATCTAATAGTTAACTAGCATGTAACAAGCAGCTAAACATTAACATCTGTGTGTTTGGCTGTGTCATTAATGTCCTGCTGGGTTTTAGATGTTATTTTTACTATTTTTTGAAAAGTCTTCAAAGTTTTCATTCTCTCCATTTATGGGACTCAGTACAAGCCGATTTAGATGAAGGAGCTCTATAAATAGAGCGTTAGTGACACTTTTTTGAATATCTGCCCCCTCTCCGAGTGTGTGAAAGTAACCTCGAAACGTATCCGCTCTGGTAGCTGACAAAAATTCCAGCTCTCGGGTTCTGACAGGTACGTGTCGCACCACTCCCCGTTCCATCCCGAAACCAAAACAAAGGATCGATTGTCCCGGGAAAGTGCGGCCGGCTCGCCTTTCAGTTCCCACAAGGCACGAGTTTAACGTATTCACGCCTATGATATCTTAAAAAGCCAAAACGTACAAATGTGTCAGCTGCAAATTCTGCAAGATTGCAATGTTTAAACAACCTACCGCTGGCTGTTTGAACACACAAACACATCTTTCCTCCATCGCTGCCGCAAAGCCTTTTCGGTCAGAGCAGTCATGCGTGTGAGAGGGCCTGAGCGCTACATCTTGTTTCACTTTTACCAGTTGTCTTTTCATGTGAACCACCCGTCTGTAACTGGCATATGAGAGACCTGACTGTCAGTGATGCTCACACACACTAAGCAGGACCAGATGACATGAATTTGGTATCTCCAACACTCTCTCACTGCACAGCTCAGCTCTTAAACACTTCATGTCTACAAACTCAACACCGTGAAAAACAGTAATTTTGTAGCTGGCTAGAGCACAGCATTACCTGATGAAGTCTAGAGGAAGGTTACTAAATTATATGAATTATATTATATATCCTTATGCTAGTTATTAAAGTCTAAAACAATCTGACAATCAGTTTTCTTATTCACAGAAAGGCCTAAGGGTTCATGCCATAAATTAGATTGCCTTTAGTCACTCGGTGCTTGGTCAACACTACAAAGATTGACTGTGGTGTGGTGCATACTCACTGTACAGGTATGTGGTATATTTGGCCAATAATTAACCTGCACAGTCATAGAGGGAAGAAATAAAAGGTTTCTTACTGTCATCCAGTATTTTAGAAAATAGATCTACTTAGAAACTAGCATCAGCGCCCTCATGTTTTTCTGTTGGTAACAAAAGCATTTTTGAAATATTCTACAACCCTTTCAAAACCCCGTCTGACAGCTTTTTGCAGTGCACTCATAGCAGTTTTCTGGCTGATTAGCGATATTTAAAAAAAAAACATTTGCTGATTCAGATTTTAACTTACAGATTTTTCTTTGTCTTAAAAGGCACTTAAGGAAATACATTAACATTAGAATTTTGAGTTTTACTAAAGTGGCATAAGACACTCTATTGGTAGTGTCTTCAAACTTAATTCAATCTAAAGGAGAAGTTTTGAAGTGATGTTCTGAGAAGCCATTAAAGGTAATCGTTTCCGTACAGTAAGCAGACATTGGTGACTACTGAAATTTGCCATTTTTACACTTTGTCAACCAAGAGATATTCCATTTTACGTACACATTGAGCTATTGAATATGGGAATAAATGAGAATGCAAGTTAGAGTTTGAATATACAAAATTTGAGCTAGAATTAAACACCAGTAGAGAAACTAGTTTATACAGGTTTATAATACTATCAAATCTGGATTGAATATACATTCCCTTCATGAAACAAGCTGATACGCATCATGACTTTTACTGTATGAAAATGAAAATGACTTCCAAGTCAGGAATGTTTGCCTTCAAGACATGTTGAATTGTGTTTTACTCCCCACTGTGAGTCATTAGACTCGACTAAAAGGCCAAACTGAAATCATGATTAATCCAAAGTTATTTCTGAAAACAGCTCAGTGGGTTTCCTTTGTCACTCTGTGGGCTCAAGCCAGTAATACAAACAGAGACCTGTGGTAGTTGCTGAATTAGGGTTCAGCACGTCGCACAGGTTAGGTATTCCAGCAATGCATTGGTTGTTTTGACTTCCCACACTGTGAATGGGGTTAGTGAGGAGGGAAGAAACCACATCAATGGAGGAGAAAATGACCCCCGGGGAGAACGCATGAGGTGGTGCTCAGTTTTCTGCTGATTCCTGTTTGTCACCTGGATGTATAATTGTGTTCGAAATAATGGTAGTGCGTGAGCAAGTAGAGTAGAGCTCAAAATCATTGTATTTCCACAAATGCATTGGGAATAGTGTGTACTCTATTGCAAA